CTGGGAGGAGGCCAATTCCTGCTAGTCTCCGTAGTCTAGCCTGGCAGTCATGGGGACCCCCTACTCTGCCCTCTGAGCGCTGGGAATCCAAGTCGATGCCGTGCCCATTCAGATTTTTAAATTTATTTCATTACATTTATTAGCAACCCACTGAATAATAAAAGCAGAAAATACCCCATGTTTTAGCACATTCTAATTCTAAAATAAAAGAACGAAACTAAGCAGCTATGTTAATACGTGTGTATGTGAGCATATTCTTAAGAGTGCCTCAATGCAAGTGTCTACCAAGAAAATGATAAGTTGAGTTTTAACCCAAGTATAAAAATAGATTTTAAGAACTCCATGAACTGATTGGCCTGCTCTTTGATCACCTCCCCCTGAGGTGGGAGCAGCCTCACCAGGCCATAGAGGAGGACAATGCAGCCAGTCCTGATGAGACCTGATAGGCTAGGATCAGAGGGAAGGGGAGGAGGACCTCCCCTGTCAGTGGACTGGGAATGGGTGGAGAAGGGAGAGGGAGGGTGAGATTGGGAGGGGAGGAGGGAGGGAGCTACAGGGGGGATACAAAGTGAATAAACTGTAATTAATAAAAATTTAAAAAATGGAAAAAAAGACAAAAAAAAGAACTCATTTCATTATTGTCCTCGTTTGGTTTCTGTTGTGATAAATACCATGGTCAGAAGTAATGTGGGAGGAAAGGGTTTATATGGCTGGGTCACAGCGTCAGTGAGGGAAGCATCACATCAAGGGATGGCACTGTCTGCAAGCTCTCCTACATGAACCAGCAATCAAGAAAATGTCCCACAGACACGCCACAGGCAAACAGTATTTAAGCAGTTCCCAAACTGAGCTTCCTTCAGATAAATAACCCTGGGCTGTGTCAAGTTGACACTTGAAGCTAACAAGGACAATTATATTTCCATATTGTTTAAGAAGCCCCTTTGTAGACTTCTGTTAAAACTATGCCATTAAAAAATAATTGTTTTTATTGAGACAGGATTTGACTATGTGGCATAGGCTGGCTTTGAACTTGCCAGACTGTCCTGAACTCTCAATGCTTATACCATGGCCTCTCAAGTGCTAGAATTTTGCTGTTTTAAATATGTTAATTAAGTGCCTAAAAATTCTCACTTAGCCCTCTATTAAATATTAAAATCTGCAGCCCATCTAGCTCTGTAGATACACCCAATTTTATCTGACAGTGCTCATATCTGCCTGGGTTGTCCTGGTTTAGGAGGGCATTCTCACAGCTCTCCCTGCTTGTGTTCAATCCATCTCCTGTTCTGAAAGACTTAAAAGCTTATTAGGAGACTGCATCCTCTCCAATGTGTGTTGCCACTTGAGTTTTGGCTGTTAGCTCTCAGGATTTTTCTAGTCAGGAAGCCCCCCACAACCACGGCCTTTGTCAGGATTGACTGGGCCTTGACAACCTGAGACCTGTTCACACCCGCTACTGTGGCGACCTGGCATTGTCAGCCACTATCACGTTTGTAACAAGCTGGTATTGGAGCATTCTTGTTGCAAATGGATCCCTACTACACGACTTGACTGCTGTAAATATATTTTCTCACTCTTTCTTTTACTATAACTAAACTTAGTGCAAGACAACGAGAAGCAAATGTCCAGTAAAACTCTGGTCAATGAATGGCAAATACAAAGAACCACCAGTATTTCCCTTGGCAGCAAAATTCTGTCTGGGAAAACAGTTTCGAGCAATCTGTAAGATAATGGTTTGTAAGGGGGCATCAGCTCAAATTTCTCTTCTCATCCCAGAGGAAATCTAAAGGAAATGGGTAAATGCCCCTAAGGCTATAACCATAAATTCCACAAGTTGAATCTAATGAATCAAGTGAGGACTGATTGCAGCAAGTCGATGCTTCGGCACATAAATGGAAACAAGATCTTTCATTGGGATAGAAAAATGAAAAGTTCTTAGGAAATTCCAGGACACTTTTTAAAATGGCTTAGCTATTGATAACATGATATTTTAGCTTACAAAACTGAGCTTTCAGAATGCTCTTAATGTTAAAAATCTTCTCTTTAAGAGTGTTTACATATCTATTCATGTACACATATTTGTTTATATGCATGTAGACACAGGAATAATATACATATACCATTTTAAGTATGCATGTAATGTTTATCCATATTACACATATTTGAAGGAACTTCAAGACATGCCTTAGTAATATAATTTCTGAATATAGATCTCTGAAGTACTTGGGACTCTTTGAATTATAATTGTAACATACCTGGAAATATTTACAAGGGGAATATGAAAATTGCTAATTATGACTATAATTCATCAATGAGGTTATAAATAATGATGAAATTCCTTAGAAATTACATAGATATCATCCGAATGATTCCAGACAATGGATACTGAACATGCTACCTGACTTGCCAGGCAGAGCCACAGAGACTAACAGACTGTAATCACATGAATAGTATGGATTTATATAAAGAAATACAAATGCTGAGCTCACAGCACACGAATGGTTCTGAGTAACTTTTGAACTGAGTATAGATGAAAGAGTTACTGCACTGAAGGTACTATTTTGGTATTTCATTACTATGGACTTGTGAAGTCTGAAGTGAAGCCACACGTTTATGACCACACTTAGGATTTACGTTCATGCTTAGATGTACTGCCATGTCATCCCCGTCAACAGAACGATGGTTACCACTGCCTTCTACCTCATAAACATCCAGATAAATGAATGATCATGAGATACAAAACCCATTTCTGGAAACTGTTCTGACTATAATGTTTATATTTACCCCACAGCATCATACACAATGTAGGTAATGGTTTATTACTATATTGTTTTGACCCTTTTCACAGCAGAAAACTTCTAGCCTCAAAATGTAGCAAATAAATTTCTCAATTAAGTTTCTAAGGAATAAACTGTAGTTTCTCTAACTAAATATATTGGTTGATTTCCAATGCTGCATGACTCATTTTTTTTTTTTTTAATTTTAAAGCCACACTCAGAAAGATTTAAAAAATTTACTTGGTAGGTTACAAACTCAAGTCTCTATTTCTCTCTCAGTGCTGCTACTCTTCCATCATTTAATGTAGAATCCAGGACTCAAATCCATGCCCTAAATTTGGTGGTAAACGTGGGGAAGCTGAAGTTTGTGCTAAGTGCAATGCTAGGTCTAAGCAAAAGAATTCAGTCTGGTAGTTACTTGGTGCTCTGTCATATCCTAACCCTTATCATATTCTTTAGCCAAGCCCTAACTCTTCCTGCTTGATCCCTTTGCCTTTGTTCTACTCAACTGATGCTATAATGGGTCTGACTGAAAAGGTAAGGAAATAGAGAATCTACAACAGATCTGTTATTCACAGAAATAGACGTTTTATCCTTTTTATACTAAAGAATAGTTAATGCTAGATCTCTATTCCCTTGAATAAAGTGAAAATCCAGAGGAATTATGTATTCTTTTGTGGTCCTTCACTGACTGACTATAATACTCGGAATTAATGTTTAGTTTTAACAAGAATACAGATAAACTAGAAACCATTATTCCTCCTTATTTTGACTTTTCAGTGGTTTAATAAATAGAACACATTAATTCTAGTTAAGATCCATGAAGGTACTTGTCAGACTACAATTTTAAAAATTTGTTTTTGTCAAACTGCAATCATAAAAAGAACTCTCTTTCATCCTGATTATGAAAGTTAGGATGGGCATGCTAACAGACTGAAGCCAAAGCCATTTAAAAACTCACCCTTTCTCTTTTTACTAGCAACTTTTTAAAAATAAACATGCACTATCGGTTTGTCTGTAAAATGCGGTGGGCTGTATTGTTAATGCGAGACGCAATCCAAACTCCACGGTGCAGCTTCACATGCCTACAGAAGCTTAAACAGGGCTGGCCAATGAAAGAGTAACAAGCGCGTGACTAGAAAACCCACTTTGGTATGGCCAAAGACAGTGGGCTCCGGCTCTAGCCACAGACATGCACCGGGAATGGGAGGGCTGAGAAGGGCGACCTTCTTTCTACCAATGGCCAGTCTCCAGAGATGGAGCGTACAGACGGTGCAGGCTGGAGAACACTGGCCAGGGTGCAGCTCCCAGATGTCAGCACCCCCTACCCCAGGATGTAGATAGGCCCAGGTCTCATTTAGAAGACAAACTCTTTCTTTCTCTAGAATATTCTCTTCAGATATGTGTAGAAGTTTCGTACTGATTTGTGTGTACATATCCATATTTATGAAAATTTTTAAAAGAATCCTTAGTAAAGCTGTACTGTTTCATTAAAGGGCATGTTGTTACTGGGTGTTTTGAATAGGAATTTTTAGTGTTCATACAGAAGCTCTTGGAAGAAATGTTTTCAGATGCAGTAACTTTTCCATTAGCGACATCAATATTAAACATTATTTATGTCAAACATAAAATCTTAGTTTCTTTCAACTATTGGTAATTATCTCCCACTACCAGTCAGAGCTCATAAAATTGAACACATTTCTATCTTAAACTGAGCAAACATATCTAGCAGGGTATTTCTGCCACAACAGAGCAGAAACCTAGTGTATTCAAAATCCACATGTAAATCGTTTATAAAGAGTCTCTCAGGCCTGGCTAGTCAGCTCAGGGGTGAAGATATCAATCCCGAAAAGTGAGTTTCATCCCCCAAAATCTGCTTGATAAAAAAAGAAAACCAACTCCATCAACTTGTCCTCCAACCTCCACACATGTGTTTGGTTCACACCTATATACGTACACACCATAAATAAATGGAATATAATAAAAATGTCTTTAAAATGTCACAGATTATCCGTAGGACTTTTAATAGCAATCACTATTGTTAAAGAGAACAAAGCACAGTATTTTTAAAATGTTTAATTTCACTTTTTAAATTATCTGCTACAAAGACTTAACCTTGCCCGATTCTAAAAGCCCCTGACACAGCTGTACAGAATGATTAAAACAAACAAACAAACAAACAACCTTTTCTGAGTTAAATTGCCACAATTGGTGAGAGCCACTTACCAATGGAAAACTGGAGGACAGACGCTGTTGTTGTGTTTAGGCTTGTGGTGGTCTACAAAGAAAAGATGCAAAAGATCACACAAGGAAGACAAGTAGGAAGAGCTTGTGGGGGAAGAGGGGGATGTCCATCGCAGGCAGAGGCTGCACATTGTCAGCTGCTCACACATCAGCAGTTTGCCAGAGCGCAGGCAGACTCCCCATACCCTGTGGGGAGCAAGCTTCGAGACCCCAACTTGGGCTGAGATAACAACCTTCCCAGAGTGCCACGGAAACAATTTTCCAGGTCATCTTGCAAGGGGCCTTGGTAGAACCACATGCAGTCCATTACCAACCCTCCCTCTACCTTACTAGCAGTGTGCGAGCCAAAGAGAGTCCCATAAAAAGGCAGCAATACAAAAACCGGGAGCTACATGATGAGTAAATGACTAGAAAAAGATTAATCCTAAAAGTAAATAGAGAGGCGGTGATATGACTCAGAGGTTAAAGGCACTTGATAATGTGAACCCGAGTTCAAGCTCAGGGGCTCGGCTAACAGAAGGAGAGAACTGAGTCTAGCAAGTTTGCCCTTTGACCTCACGTGCATGCTGCAGCATCCCCATACCCTACCCCCATACGCACAACCCGAACACATGTGACCAAGATGCTTTTTTTAAATTGGATAGAACAAAAACAGCTCATTTAAATGCCATAATCTTCAGGAAGTAATAAAAAACATTCTAAAATTGATCGCGGTCATGACTATACAACTTTTTAAGTGAATTTTAGAACCGATGAATATTTCTTAAAATGAAAGGGAGAGAGGAGAGGAAGAGGAAGAATGGGGAAGGAGAGAGGAGAGGGTGAAGGAAGAGGGGGAGGGAGAGACATTACGAATAAGGGTCTGGAAAGAGCTTCCCCCACATTTCTGTTAAATCTTAGTGTCACAAAGAGCTCCCTGATAAACCTCTCCACTTGGGAAGGAGGAATGGCAAGGACGTACTTGCGTGTGAAGTTACTGATTTTTTGGCGTAGGAATACTGCTCTAATGAGACGGGAGTTAAGTTCTCATTTTGCTGGGCTCCTGAGCCCCTTACGCCTCACAAGGCTCCACTCTTGGAAACAGCGGCCTGTGAGCGCCTACTCCAAGAAGTAGGCTGTCTTCCTTTTGCTTCTCTATGATCTGACATCTGCAAACAACATGTGTCTGTAAAATCCGGCGCATAGGCAGCAAAGGTTAGAGGGTGGCGTGGAATTTCATAAGCCCGCCAGCCACGGTTGGTAGGAGCTCCTTCTTCCTGCCAGCCACAAATCACCGGTGTGGACTGACAAAAGGAATCCTAGCTGTCTTTCATCTGAATATGCCCATCATGTCCAGAACTCTGGTTGCTGTCTTCTTCCTCCCACCAGAGATATCAGAGAAAAATGAACAATGAAAGACTTTGAAAAGAAATCTGCTTATCCCCAATAACCTTCAAAGTAAGTTTAACTGTCTGCCCTCATGGGCTTCCCCTTGGATGATTTCGTATTAAAATAAGTTGAATGATGTTGCGCAGCTGAATAGATCCCTAGATGAATCATGAGACACTTCCGAATGTGGGTTCTTTGAAGTAGTGGTATTACATAAATTAAAAGCACTGCATTTGTAGGTGCTGCTGGTGCACAGAGCATCCTAGAGAGTCCTCAGCAGTTTATAGGGTGACGTAATTAATGACGCCGTGCCACCTGTCTGATCAAGTCACATGGCTGTGACCCCGGCTAGTGAGTAGCAACGTACTGTGTGAAACCCTGCTAACCAAGGTGACTCTAGCTTTTGCTTAGTCATTGATTCTGTATTTTTCCTTCATGAGGCAGGCTAAGGACTCCTGTGATGTCTGATGCTCTCTCATGACTATACCTACCCATATTAGTAAAACTGCCAGCTACAAAATAATAGAGTGTTTTGCTGGGCAAACACGAGGACCCAAGTTCAGGTCCCCAGGACCCATCTAAAAGCTTGAACACAAAGGGGCTCATCTGTAACCCAAGGCTGGACAGGGGCAGGGCAGAGACTTATAGATCCCTAGAGCTTGCCAGCCAGCTCATTAAAGAGCATTGGTGGGCTCCTGAGTCAATCAGTGAGAGACCATGTCTCAAAACATAACATAGAGGGCTGTAGTGGAAGTTTTGGTGTCTTTAAAAACTCAGTTACGTTATGTAAAAATGTTTTTGTTTTAACCCTATGTGTGGGACATGGGATATGTCCCCAGCAGCAGACCATTTGTGTCCTGCAGGCTCTGAGAAGGGTGTGATCTTTGCCAGCTGCAGAGTTTAATTCTGGGGACTCTTGATAGGGAATAAGTGCCAGAGTCAGGAGAGAGAAGGGGCCTCTGAAAAAGAAGGCTGCTCCTTCCTGTACTGCTCCTGGTTGCTGTTGATGCAGCTTGATGAGAAGTTGGAGAAACAAAGGTTGGACTTGCCCTAAAAAAACCCCAAAAACCCTAACTAGCAGGAAGCTCATTTAAAGTCTAAAGTCTAAAAGAGTCTATGACCCCTCTTCCCACTAACCTTCTTTCTCTCCAACCTAGTGTTAGAGGATTGGAAGGGATGTAGAAGAATGAGAAATTAAAATAAAATAGACTAAAAAGGTGCCTACAGAGAACAATTGAGGAAGATGACCAAAGGTGACCTCTGGCCTCTGATACACACACACACACACACACACACACACACACACACACACACACACACACATATGGATGTGCACACATATGTATCTATGCATAAACAAATAATAGGAAAGATGAAGACAAAAAGACATAATATATATATATATAATTGGGTTTTTATAAATTATTACTCTAGCATTCAAATGTATAATTTTACATTAACTATTAAGATTTTATATCTGACATTATGGAAACAAAAGGGACTCTTAAGGGTTTTTGATAAATAATAATTATGAATGTCTGATAAGAACTTTTTTCTCAGCAAATCTCAGTGCTTTAAAAAAATAAGTTTCAAACTATATCAAATGGAAAGACTGAATTTAACAGTCTTTTAGTCTAGCTTACCACTGTAACTAAAACACATCTTCAAGTCTAGGAATGGGGACACAGCTCAGTGTTGAGAGCTTGTCCAGCCTGTGTGGGGCCCTGTGTCTAATCCTATAGCACTGCAAATAAATAAATACTTTTAAAAAGAGTATGGCACAACTCATTTCAAGTTCCAAGAATATATTTCTCTTTATCTTCATCTTATATTAGCAAAATAAATCAGCAAAAAAAAGTTGAGTGTCACCAGCTTAAAATCCGGAGACTTGAACAGTTAACTAGATGTCTGAGGACTCCAGAGACCCAAGTGACAGAGACAAGCTTTCCAGAATGCAATGTGCATCAGCAGCATGAAACAACAGTCTGAAGAATTCAGCTTCAAGAGCAGGTCTTTCCACACTGTCCTTTGCTCTTTCCTTTCAGCCTTCTGAGAGAGGCCCCACTCTGCCCCGACTAACACAATTTTGCTCCTTTGGCTTGTTTTTGGTTTCTATTTTTTTTTTTCTTTATATTGTCTCAAATTCCAGGAGCCAGGAGCTTTGCAGGGGCCCATACCACCAGACCTGAGCTTAAGATGACCCAGACAACAGTCTGGCTAGGGTTGTCAGCTTATACCCTCAGCTGGATTCTTCTCCAGGATCCTGGAGCAACTACCAGCACCAGAAGGCAGTTCTTGGGCAATACACATCTTGCCTGTGTCAGTCGTATTGAAGCAAACACCTTCGTGATTCCTCAACACACGTGTCTTCGATGTTGGGGAGAGAAGCCTGACCTAGCCCCGGAACCCTCAGATCCAGACTTGAAGCCTAGGACTGCGGACGGAAAGACAAAGCCCTAACCGCCCAAGCCTCCTGGCTTGTGGTTCCTCGTTTCCCAGCTCCGTAGAAACTGGATCATGAAAAGTAAGCGGGCCTGCTGCAATGTTTCAGGGCTGACGTTTTCCATCGGTCCTCGTGCATCATGGCTTTGGCTGGACTGTTTTGGAGTTCCACGAAAAGGTTCAAATTTTAGTAAATATACTATTAACCGACAACTGAACGCCTTGCTTTTTCATTTGACTGGCTTGCTTTCTGTGAGCACAACTTGGATATTATATACACTTTGGCCCTGAGGAGGGTAATGCACTACTGAGAAATGAATTGTTATTGTTAAACTACCTCTTTGGCTCTACAGAACACATTCATTTTCAGGAAACACTTATGACGGGAATATAGAACACATGCTACTCTTCTATCTTAGAAGATTATTATTATTACTTAAACATTTAGAGACAGGGACTTGCTATGTATCCCAGGTTGGCATCAAACTTACTCTCCCTCTGCCTCTCTGCCTCGTGCTGAGATTGCAGGGTTAATACGTGAGTATAAACTAATCTCAGATATACAAGTCAAAGCCAACCAACTGGGGTATCAAATCTAGTAATAAACATACTGGGCTACAGAAACAATCAGAATTAAATTCATGTTGATCAAGAAAGCTGGATATTTCAGTTTTTGCTTAATATGTGGATTTGTAGAAATACAAATTACGGCATTATATTATAAAATAATTTTATTTCCCCTGCCAATATTTTTAGAAATATTACTGAATGGAGCACCTCCTAAAATATGCAGTAATTCTCAGCTCAATTAACTACAATAAAACTAATTTTATATTAAGGCTTATAGATAATTAATTCATTCAAGGTATATTATTTAAAGCATACTAGCAAATTTATTTTGTTTTTCAGAAAGAATTTCGCCACCAGAGTCATATTTGTCTGCAGGTATTATAACACCTTGTGAGACTTGAATTATAAGCACCTATTATTTTAATTTGCATCTAATTAATTCTGTTCATGATCTACTTGCAATTGGAAACTCCACAAATGTCCTGAAGTGCCTAGGTTAAGTATATCTATTACCACAAAAGGGGAATTCAAGCAGAATAAAGTAAGAACATGTTGCAGAGTTAATTGGCTTCTACATTTTGATAAATAAATCACCCTTTAGTTCCTTATATGGTGCTTTTCTCCCTCTTTACTATGGAAGCTAATCTTCTGACAACTTTTAAAGTTAGTGACTTTGGAACACAATGTGTGACCTGGAGATGAGAAGACAACCTGCCGAGAAAAGGGCAGAAGCTGTGGAAGAAGGAGAGAATAGAGCTGTTGGGAGGCAAACAGCCTGGCACCAGGCGGTACAAGGAACATGACAGAGTCAGAGGATCCTAGCCAGGACCTGATGTAACAACGCTTTGATAGCCTTTTCAGGGACATGAAATGAATGCAGTCTTCATGTCAGAAAAAAGGACCAAGCCAAAACAAAAGGCTTATTAGCCATATGCTGATGGTGAGTGGTTGTATTGTTTTTCATTTAGAATGCTCACTGCAGTTATTAATTCCAGAACTTACCTTCTCAAGCAATGGCTAACGCCCTAAATTAAAAGACAGGAATTACCTGGAGTCATTTGGCATGAATCATATTAAAAAACAAAGAAACAAAAACTCAGTTATCGATACATTCTTTAAAAGAAAATCCATCAAAAAAAAACAGGTTCATCTATTGTTAGGAACCAAAGTTTTAAAGTAATGAAGAGATGAGGGAGGGTATTACAGTTGGGATGAAATTGAATAAATAATAATAATAATAATAATAATAATAATAATAATAATAATAATAATGAAGAAAAAATTAAAAAATAAAGTAACGCCCTGAGAAACTCTTGACTTGTAAGGAGAAAATAATACTGATGATCAGAGCAAGGCTTTGTATAAGAACTCAGAAAGTCACACTTTGTATGATACACATTTTGTACATATGATATACATAATCATGTATTTCACGCCATTTAATCATAGTGAGGAATAACATTTAGTAAGACACACTGATGCTGCCAGTTTTGTCACTGAACGCCTCATTTGAAAATGAGCATAAAACTATGTCTCCCAACTTTGAGATATTGTTAATAATACAAATAATACTTCAAACTTCCATCTGCGCTCCTAGGGAACAAAAGCAGCTTTTGTCGACAAGACGCAAAGTAAGTACCGTAATAAAACAGTGTATTCGGCGCACATACTTACCAGCTCTCGAGGACCATACGGCTCACAGAAGGTGACAGCATTGCCATGCATGATTGTTCCACATTGCTCTCCAATCTCACAGTTGCTGCATTCAACCCTGCAGAATACAGAATGCATTCTCAGTCTGGGGACTAAGCAGTACAAGTTACTGGGCTCCAATTGTCACTGCACCGACATGGTACACGGGAGCCTGACAAGGCTCAGAAGGCACAAAGCCAGGAAGTCCTGACAGTAACGTGAAATGGTGGGAAATTCCCTCAACCTCCCAAAGTTTCAATTTTCTCATGAATAAAATGAGGATAACATCCTGACCCAAATTTCAAATAGCCACTCCGACAATTAAATGAGACAAGTATCTAGACACTGACAGTGCAGAAGTAGTCCCAAAGCAGGCCTTCCTCAAGGAATGCGCTATTATCAATAGTTAGAAGATATACAAGCCCAATGGGACCAATACAAGAACAGCTTCAAGGGTTAAAAATAAAAAAATGGAACATCCATTTATATAATAAACTAAAGATCTCTATCTCTAAAATGAAAGGGTGCTCATAATAGTTTGCATCTTAGTCAGTGTGAATGTTTTAAGTACCTATTCACAGGCAAACTTACAAGTTTATATTCCACTATGCTAAAAATAATGGCATCAAGTTCAATCTCCTTGTAACTAAGGAATATACACAGGTTCAAATGCAAGCAAATTTTGGATACTGACTTATGTTAACTCCTGCAGAGACTGATGCACCAATCAAGGATCAGGCATGGAGAGGACCTAGACACCTCTGCTCAGATGTAGCCAATAGGCAGCACAGTCTCCATATGGGTTCCCTAGTAAGGGGAGCAGGGCTGTCTCTGACATGGACTCTGTTGCCCACTCTTTGATCACTTTCCCCTGGCGGGTCTGCCTTGCCAGGCCAGAGGAAGAGAATGCAGGCAATCCTGATAAGACTTGATAGGCTAGGGACAGATGATAGGGAAAAAGGGCTCCCCATTTCTGATAAATAGGGGAGGGGAATGGAAGGAGGACAGAAGAAGGGTGGGACCAGGAGGAGATGAGGAAGGGGACTACAATCTGGATATAAAATGAATAAATTATAAAAAAAGAAACAGGAACAACTACAAAAAAAGAATTTAGTCCTCTATTTTATAAATGTAAATTAAAGTGGTTAATAAAAATGTAAGACAGGGTCAAAATATATTTTTTTTTCATAGCTCTCTAGTAGAAATTGAAGGTATGCCTACTCAGGATTTGACTTTGGGTATGTTCAGTAACATTTATAATGCTCCTCATTGTAACATTTCCACCTACAATCATTATACATCTAACATGTAGAAAGAAAGATCTATATTTCCCTGGTCTGGTCCTCAAACCACATGAGAGCTTTATTGATGCAGAAACAATATTTTCAAAGACCTTCACTTTCCAGGTGTAGAAAGGGCACAGTGCCCTTTGCTTGGCGGATCACCATGTTATCTCTCTATTGTTTATGCTTTCAGGGAGGAGGCAGCAGCTCCATCCAGACAGGAAGACAGATCACACAGCCCCGCAGGGCAAGAGGCAGAAGCTCAGTAAGTCTAAACTTGGCAAATGAATCTAAGTACTTCTTACTCATTTGACCATTTAAAGCAAATGGCTGCTGTACTAGCCTTTTCAGCTGGGCCCACGGTAGATCAGCAATGCCAACTATCTTTAAATTATTTTCAAAGAAAAAAATTCTAATAAGGATTTATGGTGTACTTCATTGTATCATAAATCTTAGCAGGAAGTTGGAATCGTTTCTTGATTACTGTGATACAAGAGTCTAATAAAATGTCCTTGACATTAGAAGAAACACAACAGCTTTGGAAGGGCAAAGAACCAAATTTGTATTCATTTTTGGCATGTTTATTTACTATATGTAGTATTCATAAATACTGGTCGAATAAATAATTGAATGTACTACAACTTTATAAGAAGAATTATTCTTAAGGTTTGAGGTCCTAAATAAAAATCTCATAATACTGCCTGGCACATACTATGCATGAGTTATTACCTTATTACTATTAATAAAATTATTACCACCATTAATTTCTCATGAATTTCTATACTTTTTGGCTTCTACAAAGCTGGTATATTTGATTCCCTTCTCCCTGATACAGAGTATGTTAGATGAATTTCTCTGTATTGTTTTCTTAGTTTTAAAAATGGACTATAAAAGAAGTATAAAGAAATAGCATAAAAATTATATTGGGGGAGGGCTGGAGAGAGGACACCCACAAAGTAGCTCACAGTCATCTCTAACCCCAGTCCCAGGGGATCCGGTGCTGTCCTTTCAGCTCCATGATCACCCGGAACAGACATGGTGCACAGACATATATCCAGACAAAACATCCATACAAAGAAGGCAAATTTTTAAGAATCATATTGGGATTTTTTTTTCATTGCTATGGAATTAATCAGCTTCTTATATTAGTGGTAGATGAGGGTTATTTAAAAAGTTGTCACTATCAAATAGCTTGGCAGAGAAAAAGTAAGAGAATATTCAAAACGTATGGTATCTAGATCGAGCCTCTAAGTAGTTCTCCATCTTCCTCACGATGTGACCTTTTAATACAGTTTATCACGTCGTGGTGACTCCCAACCATGATATTATTTTTGTTGCTACTTCTATTGCTACTTCACAACTGTGGTTTTGCCACTGTTGTGAATTGTAAACATCTGATATTTCTAATGGCCTTAGGCAACCCCTGTGAAAGTATCACTCAACCTCCAAAAGGGTTGTGACCCACAGGTTGAGACCTATTGCTCTACAGACACCTCACTAAAGATATCGTTATCCCTATAAATCTTAGGTTGGCTATGTGAAGCTCTGTAGTAACCATTTTAGCTCCACGCATTCACTAGGAGTCCCCAATGAATTACATGTGAGGAAAACAGTATCTGACTAAAGCAAGCCTTCTAGGCCTCCTCCTCTATGCTTTTGATTGAGCAGATACTGTCAGAATCTGCATATTGGTGTATTGTTTAAAGGCAGTACAGATGTAGACACCTAACAGCCTTGAGTTAGAGAGTCAGTGACTAGAGAAGTGTGAAGTGAGTTTGGAGGATCAAGTCCACTCCATGGGGGCGAACAAAATAAACACAAGGGAAGAGGAAGCATCAACAGGTAAGCTCTTCTTCCCAAGCGTCTCAACAACTCTTCTAGACCTTCCTGTCCAGCACTGTGTATCATATTTCCAGAACTTAAAAAAATATTGAAGAATGCTACCCTATTTAGTGTCAGCTATCACTTTGGAGGAAAAAAGGCTTCCCCAAGGATTGATGGGATTGATGCCAATGCTTTTAAATGCCCTTTGCTTGATTTTCTCACAATCTGACTGCGTTTATCAACATAATTTATTTTAATTTACCCCGAATGCCTATCCCTCTAGGTGGTCAATCTAGCCCTTCTCTTAGCTGCGAGTGGTGTTTATTCTTTCACCATTTATTAATGCATTCCTCTGTTACCACCACAGGAAGGACTGACAGGCACTGTACTAAGCTTTAGCAGTGTAATGGCTGACTGATATGATGCTATTTATTTCAGCAGTTTGCATTCCCGATGGAAAGGCAGAGGAATAAACAAATAGTTCCAACAGAGGTTATCCATGAGACGGTAGATAGTTCTGGCATGTTTTATGTGGCCGGATGTCCTAAGTGCATTGAAAGTTTTCAAACTCTCCTCTCAGAGGACAGAGGTTACACTCTTCATTTTCACTAATAAGAATAATGACCTTCCGAGAAGAAAAGACATTCATTCAAGGTTCTATAACTATGAGGCTGGAGAGTTGCAATCTGAACCAAAGGATTGCAACATATTCCATAGCTACTCTGTCCTTAAATTAGGAATCTATACCGACTGTGGTGGGACTGCTTCAAAACTGGTAGAATAAGAGAGAGTTTCTGAAGAAGGCCCCTCAGCTGGTCCTAAGGGAGTGCTAGAAATGAAACATGCAAGCAAGAAAGGTCAAGGTTTGTAAGGAATGAAATATGTAGAAATAACTATCTACAAGCTGAACAGTTAGCTCAGTAGGTCAGTCTGACTGTAATCATACTGGTACACATAGATTGCAAATTGCAGGCTTAGGAAGTAGTGTTTCACATACCTCTGACGGAGTGACTGACAGGTACTATGGCAGAGAGTCTACAAACAAACCCTCAACCACATAAAACTATTGTCATCTATTTTTTATTCTTATTTAGAGATGCTAAAACTGAAATTTAGAGCTATTACTGTCCAAGGTGACATAACTAGTAATTTACCGAACTGTGTTCTGACTCCCACTATCTTGTTTACAAAGGCAGAGCCACGAAACAAATCCAAATTTCAGGGAAAATCGCTGTGTAGATGATGGACTGACAGCCTCCAAATCTAGGGCTACTAATGTAACTCAAACATGGTATAAACAACTTCCAGCTTGCAGGCCAGAAAAAGAGAAGGTTCAGACGGGAAAGGCTCTGCTGCCAGGCCTGAGAGGATCTCCGGAATCGCCATGATGGAAGGAGCAGACCTGCTCACGCAGGTTGTCCTTTTACTCCACACCTACACCTCTCTACCCTCGGATGTAGATTAATGAGTGCAGTTTTCAACTTTTCAACTTCCTAATAGCCACACTACAAACTAAAAAAACAGGGCAGGGAGGGTAGATTGGTAAATCTATTGCTGGGGCATTTGCCTGGCAAATGCAAGGTTCTAGACTCTATTCTCCGAATGGCAACACCAGAAGACAAACAGTCAAAAAGCCCCAAATAAAGAAGCCAATGAATTAACTCTCGAGAAGTTTGATTTAAGCTAATATATTCAAATCATATGTTTTGCATGTAATTAACATAAAAAATTATTAATGGCGTAGTAGCCCTCAAGTTGTAATTTCTATATTAACTGGTACTAGCGCTATTTCAGTCTCATGTGCCTACCGCACTGGGCAGCACAAGGCGAGAGAATGACCACACGTGGGTACTGATGCTTCTTGCAATGATAACCAGAGACGAAAAGCCAGACTGCCAGAAACGACAGCTTAGGATCTGGTTGAAACCATAAGAGCATATAAATCATAAGGGGCAGGGGGACAAGGAGAAGA